TAGTTATTCTTGAGAATTTCAGGGACTGGAATTTCAGTTTCAAAGTATCCGGCATCTTTTTTTGACTACGTGAAACTCCATTCACCCACTTGACTTGCGTTGACTCCTCTCGTCCAGCCAGCCAATCATAACCCTCAGCACCGCCTCAGCAGTCTCCTCAGGCTCCCCCTCAGTCAGCAGGTGCCACGCACCCTCATACACCTTCAACGCCTTGCCCGATCATACATTCCCTTACTCGATTGACTTGCATTGACTTCTCTGGTCCAGCCAGCCAATCATATCCCGCAGCACTTCCTCAGCAGTCTCCTCAGGCTCCCCCTCAGTCAGCAGGTGCCACGCACCCTCATACACCTTCAACGTCTTGTCCTCACTCCGTGCTCTGTCATGCAACGCCTGGCTGCCGTCCAGCTCTGTGACTGTGTCGGCGTCCCCGTGGAGCAGCAGGAAGGGCAGAGAGACGGAGGGGAGGGAGGCCTCTGCGTCTTGACTGGCGTGCAGCATGGTGAGGGCGGTTCGCATGCGCGGGCGAGCACGGTAGGTGTGTGGGCTCGCTGCTATCTGTCAGGGGGGGGAAGGGGGAGGGAGGGGGGGTGTGGTTTGGTAAGCAGAGGCGTTGGGGGCAGAGGGAAAACGGAGTGCGTTGATAAATCTTGTCAAGTAAGCAGAGAAGTAGCTGTATGGAGGAACGCATCTCACCTTAGCAAACCGTGTTTCACCTTCTAAAACCGTATCTCACCTTTTAAAACAGCGTCTAACCCTATTTAGCTTCTCATGGCAGCGAATGGAGGAAGTGACGATGCCACTGGAACGCATCATCTGCAGGGTATTTTTGAAAGTCCTCAAAATTACCCTGTAACCTCCTGAAAATTCTCAACAATACCCTACCTCACCTTCTTGAGCTTCTCCGGGCAGCGAATGACGGAGGTGACGATGTCAGCGGAGGGCATTACCTGCAGGGTAGTCTAAAAGTTTTCCTGCAAATACCTGAGAATTTTCCGAATTACATCATCTCACCTTCTTGAGCTTTTCCGGGCAGCGAATGGCGGAGGTGACGATGTCAGCGGAGGGCACTATCTGCCATGTGGGTATCACATACGCCAGGCCCTTCAACAGCCGCACTAAGATCGCTGGCGGCTGCACCTTGGCTGAGATCTGGTGATGGAAGCACAGTAAGGGAGTGTGTGCACAGGAAAAGAAAGAGGTTGATGAGCGGCTCCCACGTGGGAAGCACACACGCCAGGTGCTTCAACAGCCGCACTAGGATGGCTGGCGGCTGTACCTTGGCTGATATTTGCTCGAAGGCCACAGGAGAAAACAGGGAGAAACACAGCTGCCCAGCAGCCCAACAAAGGGGAATATAAGCAGGTCATGGGAATGACGTGTTTTGAGTCGACTCAAAACACGCCATGAGAATGGTGGCATCTCCCATCAGTCCGGATGTTTACGATAGATGGATCTAGCGCCACTGCCCCCCCACATGCCCGAAGATGCATACCTTGCACGGCCATTCACAAAGGAAAGATGGAGGACCCAAGGGGATTTTTTTTTTTTTTTTTTTTTTTTTTTTTTTCATTGGTTTCTCATGGCACGTGCTAGAAGCATACCTTGCACATGGGGGCCATGAAAATAGCGCCGTCCCATTGGTCGGGCTGCTTGCGGTGAATGCAAATCGCCACTGCCCCGCCCATCGATTCCCCACACATGAACTTGGGTATGCTCTGGTGCTCTGGGCGGTCTGTGGAAGCAAAAAAATGAAGAGAAACGGGAGAGGATCACGGGGCGAGGAGTGAGGGCAGGTTAGGGTCAAGGAGGAGGATTGGGGGCGAAACATGTAGGAGAGGGGACGAGGGGGCGATGGGAAGGGTCAAGGAGGAGAACTGGGGGCGATGTCGGATGGTGGGTAAAAGAGGAGGAAGGGGACGAGGGGAAGGGGAGAAACAGAAAAGAGAGGGGGAAAAACGCAACATCCGTTCCATTCTCCATCTGGGCATAGCCATGTTGGTGTTACTTTTGAGAAGTGTTTTGAGTGGACTCAAAACACGAGCCACGTTGTTGCTACTTTTGAGAATTCTCAAGAGTAACACCAATACAGGATGCAACATCCGTTCCATTCTCCATCTGTGCAAAGCCATGAATCTGGCTGGCTATCAAGACATTCATATGATAAAAGTGATTTTTTTTCTAGACATCTCAGAAATTCACTTTTATCACGTCGTTCCATTCTCCGTCTGTGCATAGCCATGAATCTGGCTGGCTATGAAGACACTCATACGGCCATGCCATGCACCCCCTTCTCTTCCGCCCTTCTCCCCCCCCCCCATACACCCGTCTCTCCCTCTCCTCCTTCACCCCCCTCCCACACGCCCTACGTACCCCGTATGGGAGCAAAGTATGCAATGCTGTCGTCGACTAGGGTGCTGAAGTCAGGAATGAACACGCTGAGTCCGTCCGACCTGAGGCACAGGGAAGTGTGAACAGGGAGGATGACATGGGGGCACTGTTATAATCAGGAGCGCATGAGAGTGAGACAGCAGAGTGCGATGCTGTCAACGACTAGAGTGTTGAAGTCAGGGATGAACACGCTGAGCCCGTCCGATCTGTCACACAGGGGGGAGTTGGAACACATGAGAGTGTGTGCCAGTGCCACTACAGAGTGCGCGATGCTGCCAGTCATCAACGAGGGTGTTAAAGTCAGGGATGAGGTACGCTGAGCCCGTCAAACCTGAAGCACAGAGACGTGCGTGGAGAGCACGAAACGGGAAACCATTCTATTGCTAAGAGATGCGTGAAAACTACGCTGAAAGTAGGACCCTGCCATGCCCTTCAAAAGTCAATCCCATACAAGCCATAACCCTCTGTCACCTGCACCTGGAAAGTGTCTGGAAGGTAAGGCGTACCTGCCATGCCCCTCAAAGTCGATGCCATACACGCCATACCCCTCTGACGCCAGACGCTCTGCAGTGGCTGCATGAGAGGGGAACCGACGGGGTGGAGGAGAGCAGGGAGGAGAGGAGGAAAGGAAGGGGGTGGGAAAGGAGGAGGGGGGGAGGAAAAGGGGGAGGAAAAAGGGAGGAAAAGTGAGGTGGAACGGAGGGATATGAAAGCAACGAACACTGACTTGAAACTTCAGGAGGCACAGGGTGGGGAAAGGGCACAGGGCGGGGAAAGGGCACAGGGCGGGGAAAGGGCACAGGGCGTGAACGAGGCACAGGGCGGGGAAAGGGCACAGGGCGGGGAAAGGGCACAGGGCGGGGAAAGGGCACAGGGCGCGGAAAGGGCACAGGGCGGGGAAGCAGTATACCGTACCTTGGAAGTAAGTGGTGCAATCGAAGCCATATCCTGCCACACCATGAACGGGAAGAGAAGGAATAAAAATCTCGAGGAAATTAACGAAAGGAAAGGCTTGTAATAACGGAATTAAGCCGAATATGTGCAGAATGAGGTCCTGGATATAACGAGGTTAGCGCCGAGGCCTAGCATTACCAACCCCTGTTCTCCCTATCTAAAGTGGGATGTACCGTGAAGGTGGATGCTCCGTAAGAAAAGAGGATGAGTGATTTTGGCGGTTGACTTTCGATCGTCGACTCAAATGTCACGTCGCGACGTACCGTGAAGGAGGAGGATGAGCGCTTTCAACGGGCGGTTCGTGGGTACCCACGACGCGGACATCAATTTCATTCCGCGTGAGTTTGTGATCCACTCCTCCTTGTGCTCCACGCCGTTACTACTGGTAACGTTACCTCCCTCGCTTGGTACCTTGACTTCCGAGCCCGTCGCTGATTCAGCGGCCATGGTTTGAGCTAATTGAAAGAAGAGAAGAAGAACTATGTTGAAAATAGACCTTTCGGATTACAATGAATTCGTCGGTTTCAGACCAACTAATTAGTTTGCGGGAGACAGCGGCGGCAAAAACGGTTATGAAAAGAACAGCTCGTGATGGATGAGACTCCAAACTCGGAAAAGCCATCTCGAGCGAGAATAAATTGGTCGCGGCAAGAATCTCCCTGTCTGCCACGCCGTTCATCTATCCAATCCAAGGTAGTGGAGTCGTCCAGACAGAAGGGTCCCTCGAAATTACCGACAGGCGAGGCGACATGATCGATGGCTGCCGTGGCATTTCTGTTGGAACCTCGAGCGCCAGCGGGGTAATGGAATAATCAACGGCACGCAAATGCTCGGATCGGATGTCCCAAGGTTGACGCGGCTGTGTAGGGTGCATATATTTCTAGCGGGGTTTCAGTGCGGTAGCGGCTCGACTTGTAGCCCACATGCTTTGGACTTATTTCTTTCCTGTTTGTCTTTCTGTCAGGCTTCGCTATAAGCAACTAATGCAGAAGCAGCGCAGGAAGGAGAGCTGGAGCTGGCTGGCATCCCCGTTCCAGCATTGTCCAACATCTTTCTATGTGCAATAATTTACTACATTTTACTTCAGGCACTATACTTTATAATATTCTTAAAGTAGCTTAAATCTGCTTGAAAATATATTATTCATGCATCGTTCCTACAAAGCTTCCACTATTGATGGAAATCCGTAATGATGAGACTGCTTCGCTGTAATGACACTAGGAACTCCTGACTCGGAGAGTAGAATATGGTACATAATCCAAGCAGTTCGCACAAAGAATAAAATGCATTTTGTGGAATTTGCTTTCGTCTGCGCAGACTGCGAAGTCGTTCCTCCCAATCTCGCTAGTCTTCTAGATTCCTTCAGCGCGTAACTTTCCTTAGCTGCTGCTTCTCCTCGGCAATCGCAGTCTACATGGACGACAGGCGAAAAATAGTCGTTTGCGATAACGGCAGCGCGGTAAGGCGGCTCATTTGATACGTCACGGCGCGTAGCGTAACATTCGCCTCGCTTTGCAATTCTCCTAAACACTATCGTATTCCTGATTTTTTCCTCGCGCTTCGTTCGCTCACTTGCTCATTACCGTGCGTCCGTCTGTCGCAGTCCATCAAGTGCGGGTTCGCAGGCGACAATTTCCCCGTCGCCGTCATTCCCAATGTCGTCGGGCGGCGCCTCGTTCGCCTGGACGAAACCTCCCAAGGCCAAGCACCCCCTGTAAGCCCTGCTACCTTGTCACCCTGTTACGCGTAGTCACTCTGTAGGCGTTCACTCTGTAACGCGTCAACGGTTGAGCTGAAATAAGGTGTACCATTCTCTAACATTCTCCTGAGTCTCATAGTCCTCCATCCCATTGCATCCTCTCCCATCTCATTCCATCCCATCCAACCCATCATTCCCCACTTCTCTCGACTGTGGAGCAGAGCTGACGTACCAATCCCATTCAGAGCGATTTTTGAGAATTTTTCAAAAATCGCTCACGGAAATTCCAAAAACTCCATTATTCCCCTCTTCTCTCGAATGTGGAGCTGAGCTGACTCACCAATCCCGTTCAGCTCAATGCCATTGCCAAGCAACCCGTTCAGTCCAATCCCATCCTATCCCATCCCATCCCATGCCAACCCTACCACCGACCCAACTACCTACCAACCCTACTTTGCTGTGCTGTGTGCAGGGCATTCTGGTGGACTCACAGTGCATGGAGCAACAGCAGCAGCAGGGCGGGCAGCGAGTGGAGCTGACCTACCCCATCCACCCTCTCATTCCAATCCCATCCCATGCCAACCCTACTGTGCTCTACAGAGCATTCTCGTTGGCTCACAGTGCATGGAGCAGCAGCAGGGCGGGCAGCGAGTGGAGCTGACCTACCCCATCCACAAGCAATCCCTTTCAGTCCAATCCCATCCCATGCCAACCCCACCACCGACCCTCCCCTCCACAACCCTACTTGTTTGTGCAGAGCATCCTGGTGGGCTCACAGTGCATGGAGCAGCAGCAGGGAGGGCAGCGAGTGGAGCTGACCTACCCCATCCACAACGGCGTGGTGCAGCGCTGGGACGACATGGGGCACGTGTGGGACTACACCTTCAACACCGCTCTCGGAATTGACCCCTCTGAAACCAAGATCCTGCTCACTGACCCTCCTCTCAATCCCACTAAGAACCGCCAGCGCATGGTGAGTGAGAGATGGCACGGGCTGCACGGTGTGGTGCAGCGCTGGGACGACATGGGGCACGTGTGGAACTACACCTTCAACACCGCTCTTGGCATCGACCCCTCTGAGACCAAGATTCTTCTTACTGACCCACCGCTCAACCCCACCAAGAATCGTCAGCGCATGGTGAGCGAGAGATTCATGGGGCTTGTGGGGCTTGTGAGGCTTGTGGGGTTTACAGGCTTTATGGTATGGACTAGTCAGGGTTCCCCACTTACCACTGCTCTTCTCACCCCCCTTTCCGCCGCACTTCCCACCGCCCTTCCCACCGCTCTTCCCACCGCTCTTCCCACCGCTCTTCCCACTGCTCTTCCCGCCACCCCCCACGGCAGCTGCAAATGATGTTTGAGAAGTACAACTTCGATTCCCTCTTCATTCAGCAAACATAACCTCCCTTGAGTCCCCCCTCTGACCATCCGTCCTGTCCCTGTTTCCCCCTACTATCTTCCTCATTCCGTCGCTCCCCACCGCAGCTGCAAATGATGTTTGAGAAGTACAACTTCGATTCCCTCTTCATCCACCTCATCCTCCCTTGAGTCCCCTCTTTCTGTCCCTGCTTCCTCCCTTTTCTCCATCTTTTTGCTCCCCACCACAGCTGCAAATGATGTTTGAGAAGTACAACTTCGATTACCTCTTCATCCACCTCATCCTCCCTTGAGTCCCCTCTTTCTGTCCCTGCTTCCTCCCTTTTCTCCATCTTTTTGCTCCCCACCACAGCTGCAAATGATGTTTGAGAAGTACAACTTCGATTCCCTCTTCATCCACCTCATCCTCCCTTGAGTCCCCTCTTTCTGTCCCTGCTTCCTCCCTTTTCTCCATCTTTTTGCTCCCCACCACAGCTGCAAATGATGTTTGAGAAGTACAACTTCGATTCCCTCTTCATCCACCTCATCCTCCCTTGAGTCCCCTCTTTCTGTCCCTGCTTCCTCCCTTTTCTCCATCTTTTTGCTCCCCACCACAGCTGCAAATGATGTTTGAGAAGTACAACTTCGATTCCCTCTTCATCCACCTCATCCTCCCTTGAGTCCCCTCTTCTGTCCCTGCTTCCTCCCTTTTCTCCATCTTTTTGCTCCCCACCACAGCTGCAAATGATGTTTGAGAAGTACAACTTCGACTCCCTCTTCATTCAGCTGCAAGCCGTGCTGCCACTCTACGCCCAAGGTGTGCTGCTCGGTGCTGCTGGGTGGGTGCTGCTGCATTCTTGGAACGCTGCTACATTCATTAAATACTGCTGCTTTTCCACTCCATAAATAGTCGCAGCTTATGCAATCTGATCGCATTCTGAACATACTGTATCAGATGCACGCTTCCCATCTCCCTCTCCCTCCCCTTCTCTCTCCATCCCTCTCCGTTTACATCTCTCCCTCAGGCATTCTGACAGGGCTTGTAGTGGACTCTGGGGAGAGCGCCACTCACGCAGTAAGCCCCGTTCTTTCCCCTTGCATTTTGTTTTTGGGGGAAGGGTTGCCTCTTATAACTCATGCATGCCTGCTTGTGAGGCGCTTCCAAAATCGTTCTGACAGGGCTTGTAGTGGACTCTGAAGAGAGCGCCACTCACGCAGTAAGCACCCTTCCGAAACACACTGCACAGCACACCTTCATTCATATGAATCGCCTCACAGTCATCACAAACCTTATCTTCATTCCCCCCTTCTTTCTCAGGTGCTCAGAGCGAGGTTGACAAATTCTTTTTGGAATGAACCTCCTCCCCACGTCTCCCTTCTTCCTCTGTCGTGCTTCCCTCCGCATACCCCCAGTGAGGGAGAGCAAAATCATGTGTCTGCATACCCTCTTGCACTCACTCCTTCCTCATCCCTTGCGTCCCTCCAGGTCCCAGTGGTGGAAGGCTTTGCATACCCACACCTCACAAAGCGGATCAGCATAGCATAGCAGGCAGATCACATCACGTCTCTGGAATTTCTTCCCACCCGTGACCCCCCCTTGCCTCCCTTTCCTCCCTTGGACTCTCCTCCAGGTCCCAGTGGTGGAAGGCTTTGCATACCCACACCTTACAAAGCGGATCAGCATAGCAGGCAGGCAGATCACGTCTCACCTCATTGATCTCATGATGCGACGCGGGTATGTATGTGCTCCTTCATACATGCATTTCTGTATTCATAGTATATTCGTATCATATTGGACTTGGCTACTATCGTATTGTTGAGTCCACTCACAACGAGGATCAGCATTGCTGGCAGGCAGGCAGATCACGTCTCACCTCATTGATCTCATGATGCGACGCGGGTACGTGCTCAGTTATACATCCATGTCTGTATTCATACTTGACTTGGATTCTATTGTATTGTTGAATCCACTTGTCTGTTCACCGCCTGCCTCGCACCCCCTTTCCTCACCAGCTACCTTTCAGCAAGGTGTCGGACTTTGAGGCTGCAAGTACCGGCGCTGCTTCCCTTACTGCTGCTCAACAGTCAACTCTTCTCTACGCTCCCACTCCTCCCTTTCCGTCTCTGCCACACTTCGTCTCGCCTTTCCCCCCCCCTTCCTCACCAGCTACCCCTTCAGCAAGGTGTGGGACTTTGAGGCTGCGAGGGCCATCGAGTCAAGGAACAGCTCTGCTCACCACATAACGCTCCATCTCAAGTTCAACTATACCTTGATGCGCTCTTCAACAGCCCCCTGCTGCTGAGCCAAACGGGCGTGCAGAGCTGTTCCTCCCCAACTTTCCCTCTCCCTACCTTGCGTGCCTGTCATCCCAACCCCTTCCTCACCAGCTACCCCTTCAGCAAGGTCTCGGACTTTGAGGCTGGGAGGAGCAGCGCTGCTTCCATTACTGCTGCTCAACTCTTCTCTACACTCCCGCTCCTCCCTCTCCGTCTCTGCCACACTTCTCCTCCCCTTTCCTTCCCCTTTCCTCTCCAGCTACCCCTTCAGCAAGGTGTCAGACTTTGAAGCGGCGAGGGCCATTAAGGAACAGCTCTGCTTCGTCAGGTCAGTGAATGAGTGAGAGAGTGAGCGAGTGAGTGAGTGAGTGAGTGAGTGAGTGAGTGGGTGAGTGAGTGCGAGGGTAGGTGAGCAAGTGAATGAATGAGTTTGTTTAATTTTCTTCTTTCAACTCACTTGTATCGTTGTTGTCCTCTTCAATTCCTTCCACAACACCCCCTCCTCGCTCCCCGTTTCCCCACGCCATCCTCGTGGCCTGATTATGGCGGTTCATGTTGCCTGCATCAGCTGTGATTACAAGCGAGAGATGCAACTGGCAGAGGACACCACAGTGCTTGTGAAGCAGTCCTCTTAACCCTAGCCCCTCCTCCCACCTTTCCCTCCCCCCTCCCCCCGCCTCATTCCCTGGCCCCTATAATGTGGGTTTATGGTCCTCTTTGATGCAGCTGTGATTACAAGAGAGAGATGCAACTGGCAGAGGACACCACAGTGCTTGTCAAAGAGTTCACTGTGAGTGGACGGTGGGGGGGAACTGGGGGGCAAGGAGCTTGATCTGGCTCAGAAATGGTTCTTCCTTTATCAGCTGTGACTGCAGAAGAAGAGAGAGATGCAACTGGCAGAGGACACCACAGTGCTTGTCAAAGAGTTCACTGTGAGTGGACGGTGGGGGGGAACTGGGGGGCAAGGAGCTTGATCTGGCTCAGAAATGGTTCTTCCTTTATCAGCTGTGACTGCGGAAGAAGAGAGAGATGCAACTGGCAGAGGACACCACAGTGCTTGTCAAAGAGTTCACTGTGAGTGGACGGTGGGGGGGAACTGGGGGGCAAGGAGCGTGATCTGGCTCAGAAATGGTTCTTCCTTCATCAGCTGTGACTACAAGAGAGAGATGCAACTGGCAGAGGACACCACAGTGCTTGTCAAAGAGTTCACTGTGAGTGGAAGCTTGGGGGCCAATGAGTCTGATTTTGCTCAATATTCATTCTGCCGGCATGGCATATCAGTTCTGATCTGATGTTATTAGTGCAAGAGGACAGAACAGTGCTTGTCGAAGAGTTCACTGTGAGTGGAAGCTTGGGGGCCAATGAGTCTGATTTTGCTCAATATTCATTCTGCCGGCATGGCATATCAGTTCTGATCTGATGTTATTAGTGCAAGAGGACAGAACAGTGCTTGTCGAAGAGTTCACTGTGAGTGGAAGCTTGGGGGCCAATGAGTCTGATTTTGCTCAATATTCATTCTGCCGGCATGGCATATCAGTTCTGATCTGATGTTATTAGTGCAAGAGGACAGAACAGTGCTTGTCGAAGAGTTCACTGTGAGTGGAAGCTTGGGGGCCAATGAGTCTGATTTTGCTCAATATTCATTCTGCCGGCATGGCATATCAGTTCTGATCTGATGTTATTAGTGCAAGAGAACACAACAGTGCTTGTCAAAGAGTTCACTGTGAGTGGAAGCTTGGGGGCCAATGAGTCTGATTTTGCTCAATATTCATTCTGCCGGCATGGCATATCAGTTCTGATCTGATGTTATTAGTGCAAGAGAACACAACAGTGCTTGTCAAAGAGTTCACTGTGAGTGGAAGTTGGGGGGCAAGGAGCCTGTTTTGACTCAATGAGAAATGACACATACACATGCACATACGCATGCACGCACACACGCACATATACTCAAGCGTGCGAGCGTGCACACCCACACACACACACACGCACACACACACACACACGCGCGCGCACACACACACACACACACACACGCGCGCACACACACACACACACACACACACTCACACACACACACACACACACACACACCTCCCTCCCCCTTCATCCCTCTATACACCGGCCCAATTCTCTCCCCCATCCACCCCCCCCTCTTCCCCTCTTTCCCCCCCCTTTCCCTTCTCCCCCCTTACCCCCCCTCTCCCCTCTCCCCCCCCACCCTTTTTTCCCCCCGCTTCCCCTCTCTCCTCCCCCCCAATTCCCCCCCCCCTTCCCCTCTCCCCCCCACCTTCCCCCTCCCCCTCCCCCTCCCCTCTCCCTTCCTCTCTCATCATCAGCTGCCTGATGGTCGAACGATTCGGATCGGTGCAGAGCGGTTCCAAGCACCAGAAGCCCTCTTCTCCCCTGTACGCTTCTCTCTTCTCTCGTCTCCGTCCTCCTCTCCCCATCTTTCGTCGTTTACCATTTTTTTACCCTTTCAAAACGGATCCTTGCAGCCCTTTTTCACCCTAAACCTTCTTTCCATCCGTGTGCCGTTGACTCCCTTGTCAAATCTTAAGGCTCCCTAATTAATTGGCCTGCATTTCGCCTAAAAATTGGTGCCTGTTATCGTGCAAGAGAACAATGCATATCTATTTAAAATTTATTTGTATCATGGCCCTGAAGCGAGCCTTCGAGTTTTTCAAATCTGGTGTGTATATCTGTCATTTGCACATGGTGCATTTCTTTCTTTGTTTCCTGCATGGTGGATTCATGGGCTCCTGGCATGGAATGTATGTTTGGAGTGTGAGTGGGTGGACGCGTATGGCGGGTATGTGTGTGTGGGTGGTATGTGCAACGCATGGCATGGTATGTGGCATGGCATGGTGCGGATTGGCATGGCGCGGATTGGCATGGCGCGGATTGGCATGGCATGGCGTATGTGGTTACAGGAGCTGATCGACAATGAAGGGCTGGGATTGGCCGATGTGATCTTCAGAACCATTCAAGACATGGACATAGACCACCGGTTGAGCGTAAGTTGTTTTCTCTTCTTTCCTTCTGCACGGAACCTTTCAAGACACGAACATAGAGCATCGCTTGCTCATAAGTGAGCTTCTCTCAGCCGGCAGCCCCCACACTCCTTCCCCTGATTTTCGACTCTATCATTCTCTGTTCTGCCCTTTCTTCTCCCTCTCATGCATCACCAACAGCTGTACCAGCACATCATGCTGTGTGGCGGGTCCACCATGTTTCCCGGGCTGCCCACGCGATTGGAGAGGGAAGTGAAAGACCGGTATCTGAAGCATGTGCTCAAGGGGAATAAGGACGGCCTCAAGGTGCGTGGTTTTCTCTCTCCTTGGCTTCAAATGCCTTGAAAAATGTTTTCCCGGGCTGCCCAGTTTATTAGAGAGGGAAGTGAGGGACCTCTACCTGAAGCATGTGCTAAAGGGCATTAAGGGGGGGCTCAAGGTGGGTGTGTGGGTGTGTGTGTGTGTGTGATGGGCTGGTTAGATGCATGTGGCATTATTGCGTATGCATTCACAAAGGCAAAACATTGTGCAGGAATATACTGGACGGCTTCAATTTTGACCTTCACGCTCATGTGGCACAATGACTTTTACCCTTCATCGGTCCTCGGAATTGTCTTTTCACACTGTTTAACCAACTTTATTTGAGCAGAAATTCAAGCTAAGGATTGAAGACCCCCCGAATCGCAAGCATCTTGTCTTCCTCGGGGGTGCTGTTCTGGCCGATATCATGAAGGTATGCATGCACTGATTGCTTTGCTTCAATTTTGGCTGAAATGTAAATGACCAGTGCATGTATGGGTTCTCATGTGACATTGTACTCACCCTTTGATTTTGTTTTGGGCTTGTGATTTCTTTGTGCCGTGTTTGCAGGACAAGCCCGACTTTTGGATAACTCGTGCTGACTATGAGGAGGAAGGTTTCAAGTGTTTACGAAAATGTGAAAATGCTTAGTGAAATTGGTATATGGTGGGTAGCATTAGGTGGGAATAAAGTATGTGTCAGAGCCTGTAGTGGGAGCTACAATTTGCAAGTGTTCCTGGACTCGTTAGACGTTTGCAACGAGGCACAATGAATCGAAGGTCTTCTCTCATCTCCGTGCACCGCATTGTATCTATCAGGAATCTAGTTCCACCGAGCACTCTAGTGGTATTTTCAGTTCAATCAACAGCAAACTACCAAACGAGGTTTTAGGAGCTGAAGTACTAGGGGCGAACCTCGAAGCCGTATTGAAGGATCAGCCGTGGCCGTCGCGGTAGAACCTAGGGCTTCATAGTTCGTACCTATCGCGATCTGCGATAGCACGAGGACTCGTTATTGAGCGCTCGTTTAGTGCGGAACGTGGAGGCGCGGTTCTGGCCCGCTGACCTTATCACTCTGTCTCCTAGCCGAGCCTCGCGAGCCTCGCAATCCGGATTCGTCCATGTGCTCGCGTCGCGATCGTGCGTCTGCTTAGTCGCCGCTATAAATCATCCGCCGCCTTCTCCGAGTAGCGCGTCTGCCGTGCGTTACACTGGGCTTCAACCCCCGTTGGCGGCGTCGCGTTCGTATGTTCCTGACATTCGTTCCTTCCACTCAACGCCTCAAGCCACGATCCGTTTCTTAATCACCACCCGCAAGCGCACAAACCACCTCGTCCCTCACCCGCCGCCTGTCTATTCACCCTTTGTCCACGCGTCCACGCGTCCACGCGTCAACGCGTCAACTCGTCGTCAACTTCGCATCCTCCGGCTCCTCCATTTTCCTCAGCATCCCCGCTATTATGGGCCGGCTCGTCCACTTCGCGAACATTCCTCTCCGCATCGTCCGGCCCGAGTCGCTGGAGAACATTAAGGAGGTCGTCTTTAGAACCATACCGTCCGTTAATAAGGTGAGATGAGGCGATAGGATCATCCTGTTTGTAGTTTGCCGATTACTAAAGTCTGGGAGCTCTTATTTAGAGCTTAGCAAGGAAGGCAGGGAAATAGGACGGTATACAGTTTCACCCCTCACCTCTCTCTCACCTCTCACCTCTCTCTCACTTCTCCCCTCTCGCCTCTCTCTCTCTCACTTATGTCAACCACCGTGCCCCCATCCCGCTACCTATGTTCCCTATATACGTTTTCACCGTCCGCGACGTCCGCTTATCCCCCTATATAAGTCTTCAGCGTCCGCATATCCCCCTCCCTCTACCGTTTTTCCTCCTGTCACCCCCATCATCCCTCCCTTCCCTTCCACGAACATCATCACGAGTACTTTACCTTTTTAGTCGACTTACAGCGAATTTTCCCATCCCCCATCCTCTGTGGTTTTCCTCCTTTCACCCCCATCATCCCTTCCCTTTCTAACAGCTTCTGCACTCTGCCTTTTGAGTTGACTCAAAGGGAGTCTCGCCATCCCCCTCTGTGGTTTTCCTCCTTTCACCCCCATCATCCCTTCCATTCCACTAACACCTCCTGCGTTTCGCCGTACATTGTCACTCCTCTTTCCATGCTAGTGGAAGGAAGACGCGTCCTTTCAATGCTCTCCCATCGAATTGCACCTTTTCCTATTTTCTAGTCCCTCGCTTTCCCTTGTCCTTCTCTTCCCATTCCTTCCACTTTTCGTCATTCTCCTCCTGCAATTCCCCCTCCCACCCTCTCCCATTC